AAAATAAATTTATATATATACACATACACTACCATCACTGTCCATATAAGGTCAAACCCATAGCTAAAGACATTATATATTTTACAGGGGGTGTAACCGCAGTCATAGTTAACCCTCCATAACCCAACTAATTGAGAGATTGACGGAACAGACATAAAAATATATGTAAAACATAAGTGCCTCCAACAGTACCTAAGCAGATAGATCCAGGGGACTTAGAGTCAGATCAGTTAGAACGGCCATGCATCTCACCGTGAATTCTAGAATCTAAGATCCCCTGCTGACCTGAATGGAGCTCTCGCCGTGTGAAAGGGGCCTGTCTCTTGAGATTTCAGCCAAACTCTCCTGATTTCACACACCTTGGTGTCTCACTCTTTCTGCTGCAACACAAGGGTTACCACTTTAATCAAACAAGGAGGGTGGAACTCTCCTAGCAGAGCTCTGACAACTATAATTTCTCAGTCCTAACAGCTTCAGTACTTACTAAATCACTCTTACTGCTAAAATAGGGGTGCTTCCATACCAATTCAACAGGGAGAGTAGGACTACCTTTCATACAATCTGTTTGTTAAGGTATTCCCCACCCTCCTGTGTGCAACCCCTGGCCCAATACTTACCTCTGACCACATTCCAGCAATCTTCACTGTGTCACCCTTCCAAGAGCTGCACATCCTGTCTTCAGACAGTGTCCATTCCAGTCTTCCTGTACATGTATGCCATGGCCCAATTCCTATGGTAAGCCAAACTCTTGGTGACCTCCAGCAGTCCTGCAGAGTACAGCTCTCCCCAATTGGAGGTCGAGGACAGGCATAAGTTACATCTGTCTAAAAACTGAATAGGTATCTGATGCTACACAATCCTTGTAACCTTTATTTGTAACCTTCCTAGCAGTCTGCTCAAAGCGGTACATTTTCTTCCATGGAAATATGTATTTTTTTTTTATTGTAGGCCTGTAATTTTTAGGAATAACTCACTGAAATCTGTCCAAACAAGAGTCTAGTAAACATACCGGGTATGTTAAAATTTGAAACACGAAAATCATAAATTATAATTTAATAATCATAAAAATAATAATATAATAATAATAAATTTAATTAAATAATATAATCAAACCAAAAACACTGAAATTTGAAATATAGCGCCAAGTTCGCATATCACTGAGCAAAGTTGCAAAATCGTTTTCAGTGTCTGATGACTATTTTCCCCACGAATCATTATCACTCAATTCTGCAAGTGGTTCTGATTTACTATCGCTGTTCTCTAGCTGGTCTAAAACCGATTTTGACCTAAAGGGACGCTTTTTGGACGCCATGGACATTTCTCTGTTTCCAGGCAGAAAGAACAGTAAAAATGCAGGCAGGGCACAGGACAAAGCACTCGGGACAAAATGTATGTGAATTGGTTTGATACAGCAATGTTTTACTATGTGATTTTAGTGTATTTTGTGAATGCCACTTTTACAACTTTCAAATTTCCCGCAGTTATGTCCCCCGTACATCCCGACGTCGCAGGGAACGGAACCCGGTCGACAGATGCCGGCATCCTCCGGATTACATTGCCGGGGACACTGCAGGGGGGACATCGCGGGAGCGCAGGACAAGGTAAGTAAAGAAGAGATCCCGGAGCAACGCTGCAGGGTATTCCCAAGTGTAGCTCGGGGTTACCGCTTGTGGTACTGAAACTTTACCCCGAGCTACACTCGGAAATACCACCAGGGAGGTTAAGTAAAGTTAATTAAGGAGTGGATCCAGACTTAAAGCCCATAACTCTTCCTGCAAGTCAAGGAGCCAAAGGCTATGACATGGACAGCATGCAGTTATGCTCCCTTAGCCCCATCGTTTGACTCCAATCTGCCCTACCACATTAATAAGATAAATAATCGTTCAATAATAGTTGCTCATTACAAACCGAAGAGAAATTACTAGGGAGTCTTTTTCCTGTATTCGAATCATTGAAAACATGCTGTACTCATACCTACAACCAAATATCATGCCTACAGGCAGCAGCTGAAAATACAAAACTGATCTTGTTGATGGCTGATTGGTTTGACAGTTTTGTTTCTTTCCTGGTGCGGTTATGTCACCTACAAACTATAATCAGAACTTGAAGGAAGAATACTCATTTTCAGGGGGCCCAATGAGGAGGTGTCCCTTGTGGCACCGAAACATACAGCATAAGTCACAGTACAGGGCCATAGCAGACAACTGGAATTGCCACTACTAACTCTACATAAATGTGTCCTGTCTGAAAGTTACAGATGGCATTATGGCTTGGGTCACAGCTGTAATGTCATATCACAGTGCCACCAACAAGGTTAGTTTAGTGATGATTCTGCCACGTCTAACCTACATACACTACACCCCCTAAAGGCAGAGATGTGTACATGTCTAACATATTAAAGCCGGTAATAGGTACACAGGTTTATTAAGTCAAGCACTGGAGCAATTAATTACCACATACTGTATATACCTACTACAACATTCTGGGCTTTGGCAATATTTAACTTCTGTGCTTTGGTGATATTTTTACCATTTTTTTCATAGAAATTATATTTTATAGTTGTGATAAATTAAGCAATACACATTCCTATGCGATTTTTATTTTAGCATGAAGTGGTCTAATTTGCTGCATAGTGTAAACTTTCTTTTTATTCCATGACCAATCAAAAGAGCAATGAACTATCTTACCAAGCAAAACCAAGCCGCTACTCATCAGAAACAAGCCTCACTTGAAGTTATGAATACACTCCCTGGTTGGTGAAGCATGTTCACCTGAGATACAGAATCCAAGCACCAACCAGTTTCCATCCTGATGGTGGAGATGGGTGTTGGTTGCAGTCCTCAAGAATGCCCCACCAAGGGGTGAGCGGGGACAAGCAGGCTATGGCGTGGAGATAGGAGACTAGAGCTTAGTCAGGATCAAACATGATCTGCTTGCATTCATGAAGCCGCAAACCCCACATACCTGCGATCATACACATGTGCATTCCTATGTAGGAAAACAAACTCCATCACGCGTATTAGGTATCACCATGTACGCAAAAGTAACCTAATAATTCTATGACCCTCATACACAATTATCTCTACTGCCCATTCACATTAGTGCCATTTCTCCTGTCTACCATCACACTGCAGTGCATGGCAAAGGAAATCATATTATTCTGTAAGATGAACATTCTCATCAATGCATTTTGATTTTTGAAAAGGAGCAGGCATTTCTTTAGGTTCAGCATAGTGCATTTGTGGCTCCAGAGACCTCAATGGGAGCCCAAGAGAAACACATATATGTGCAATTTTTTGGTGTGTTTTTGGAAGGATTTAATGTTTAACAACCAATCTCTTCTGCCTAAGAAAAAAACAACATGCAGCATGAAAACGCATCAAAAAACATGTAACAGCATGAAAAAATGCACTACAAAAAATGCACTGAAAAATGCATGATTATGCAGCAGCACTAGACTGAACCTAGGCTAATCAAATGACCTGCAAAGGCTTCTAAAGTTTCGTCTATGGACGATTTTGGGTAGCGTAGCTTGTCACAGGTCCTTGCAAATTTAGGCCTTGACATGTTTGGCATTTAGTTACTCAATGTAAATTTATATTTTTTTATACCAAAAAACTGAGTAAAAGATTGATTTGCTGAAAATATGCGTATGGTAAACAGTTGCATCACAAGCTGACCCAAACAAACTATTTCTACAAAAAAAAAAATGTGGCGGTTGTCCGCATTGTAGGCATCAGTGCTTTGCAGCAATTCACAGGAAGCCTTGTATTTTTATGAATGAATACAAGACTTTGTCTAATTGGCTTCTGTGGAGATTTAGACATCACCTTCCCACATCTCCACCTCAGCTAATCAAAGGAAGCTTTGTGTTCATTCATTAAAATTCAAGCTTTCCTGTGAGTGGCTGAGCAGAGCTCAGCCTGACAAGATTTTGTTCCAGGAACAAAGCAGGATGTCCCCATCCTGCTACCAGAGCACAGCACTGTATACCCTATGTAGTTGATGCTACATACAGTTTATATACAGTGACGACAGTAAGAATGGAAAACTATTTCAAATACAAAACCTAGAGTAATGCTGTAACCCCTTGACGCCGATGTAACACAATTATGCGGACTCACAGAACTGGGCTTTTTTGCATGGGGCCGCATATTTGCGCACCTGTCTTTCTGCTGGGAACGCGCTGCATGGCACGCTCCCAGCACAAAGACCGCGGTGTCACTGAGAGCACCGGGTCCCGTTCTAACAACCGGGACTCCCGATTCCAGGTCACATGATCACTGTGATAGCCTCTGATTGGTTATCACAGTGATCAGTCACTGTACAGCCCGGCCACCTTGTTTTTTTTTTTCTCTCTCTGTGAATGGAAGAGAGAGAGATACATTGTATCTCTCTAACTCCTGGCATAGAGGGGAAAAAAATTTTTTGTAAAAAAAAAAAAAAATTATAATAAAGAAATATTAAAAAATAAAGAAAAAAATACATAGATCAAGGTTTGATCTAGTTCAGTGCCAGGGTAAGTGTTTGGGTCAAGGTCAATGGTCAAAAGATCAGGGTCAAAGGTCAGGATTTAAAAAAAAAAAATTGGTGTCAGTGTGTTTTAGGTACAAAAAATGTGCACTGTTGTTTCTGGGCTGTACTACGGGTACAAACAACAAATAACATACACATATATGGTATTGCTGTGATCGTCAAGAGCTGGAGAATTTATTTTGGGTTGTTCTTTGGTGGTAGTAACAAGAATAACACACAGCTAAATTAAAAAAAAATGTTTTTTTTTTTTACTATTTTGGGCCAGTTTTCCTTTGATAATAAAAAAAAAATCAGGAGTTATCTATTAGCATTTACCACCAAATGAAAGCCCAATTTGTCCACACACACACACACACACACACACACACACACACACACTATATTGCCAAAAGGTATTGGGACACCCTCCAAATCATTGAATTCGGGTGTTCCAATCACGGAGGAAATGGCCACAGGTGTATAAAATCAAGCACCTAGGCATGCAGACTGCTTCTACAAACATTTGTGAAAGAATGGGTCGCTCTCAGGAGCTCAGTGAATTCAAGCGTGGTACTGTGATAGGTTGTCACCTGTGCAATAAGACCATCCATGAAATTTCCTTGCTACTAAATATTCCACAGTCAACTGTTAGTGGTATTATAACAAAGTGGAAGCAACTGGGAACAACAGAAACTCAGCCACAAAGTGGTAGGCCACATAAAATGACAGAATGGGGTCAGCGCATGAGTCGCCAACAGTCTGCAGAGCTAAAACTTTGTGTGGATTGAAATTGTCCAAAATGTCTTGGTATGCTGACACCTTAAGTGTTGTCTTCACTGGAACTAAGGGGTCAAGCCTAACCCCTGAAAAACAACCCCATACCATAATCCCCCCTCCACCACCAAACTTTACACTTGGTACAGTGCAGTCAGGCAAGTACCGTTCTCCTGGCAACCGCCAAACCCAGACACGTCCATTGGATTTCCAGAGAGAGAAGCGTGATTCGTCACTCCAGAGAACGCATTTCCACTGCTCTAGAGTCCAGTGGTGGCGTGCTTTACACCATTGCATCCGACACTTTGCATTGCACCTGGAGATGTAAGGCTTGGATGCAGCTTATTGACTATGGAAACCCGTTCCATGAAGATCTCTACGCACTGTTGTTGTGCTAATCTGAAGGCCATACAAAGTTTGGAGGTCTTTAGCTATTGACTCTGCAGACAGCTGGTGACTTCTGTGCACTTCAGCATGCGCTGACCTTGCTCTGTCTGTTTACGTGGCCTACCACTTCACAGCTGAGTTGCTGTTGTTCCCAGTTGCTTCCACTTTGTTATAATACCACTAACAGATGACCCTGGAATATTTAGTAGTAAGGAAATTCTACGCATGATACACTGAGCTCCTGGGAGCGACCCATTCTTTCACAAATGTTTGTAGAAGCAGTCTGCATGCCTAGGTGCTTGATTTTATACACCTGTGTCCATGGAGGTAATTGGAACACCTGAATCCAATGATTTAGAGGAGTGTCCCAATACTTTTGGCAATATAGGAACACTTTTTAATCAGAGTATAGCATCAAGTCAATTAAACTCCTGGGATATTGATCTGGTCAGTTAAGTAGCAGAGGGGGTTGGTAATCAGTTTCAACTGCTTTGGTGTTAATGAAATTAACAACAGGTGCAACAGATAGGCAACAATGAGACGACCCCCAAAACAGGAATGGTTTTACAGGTAGAGGCCACTGACATTTTATTCCCTACTCATCTTTTCTGACTGTTTTCACTAGTTTTGCACTTGACTAGGATCAGTGTCAAGTATCGCATGAGGCGATACCTGGACCCTACAGAGGTTGCACAGGCAGTCCAACTCCTCCAGGATGGCACATCAACATGTGCCATTGCCAGAAGGTTTGCTGTGTCTCCCAGCACAGTCCCAAGAGCATGGAGGAGATTCCGGGAGACATGCAGTTACTCTAGGAGAGCTGGACAGGGCCATAGAAGGTCCTTAACCCATCAGCAGGACCGGTATCTGCTTCTTTGCGTAAGGAGGAACAGGATGAGCACTGCCAGAGCCTTACAAAATTACCTCCAGCAGGCCACTGGTGTGAATATCTCTGACCAAACAATCAGAAACAGACTTCATGAGGGTGGCCTGAGGGCCCGACGTCCTCTAGTGGGCCTTATGCTCACTGCCAGGGACCATAGAGCTGGATTGGCATTTGCCACCGAACACCAGAATTGGCAGGTCCACCACTGGCGCCCTGTGCTTTTCACAAATGAAAGCAGGTTCACCCTGAGCACATGTGACAGACGTGAAAGGGTCTGGAGAAGCCATGGAGAAGGTGCCTGCAACATCATTCAGCATGACCGTTTTTGGTGGGTCAGTGATGGTCTGGGGAGGCATATCCATGGAGGAACACACATACCTCTACAGGCTAGACAATGGCACCCTGACTGACAGTAGGTATTGGGATGAAATCCTTGGACACATTGTCAGACCCTATGCTGGTGCAGTGGGTCCTGGGTTCCTCCTGGTGCACGACAATGCTCGGCCTCATGTGGTGAGACTATGCAGGCAGTTCCTGGAGGATGAAGGAAATGATACCATTGAATGGCCCCCATGCCCGCCTGACCTAAATCCAATAGAACACCTCTGGGATATCATGTTTCGGTTCATCCAACTCCACCAGGTTGCACCTCAGACTGTCCAGGAGCTCAGTGATGCCCTGGTCCAGATCTGGGAGGAAATATCCCAGGACACCATCCATCCTCTCATTAGGAGCATGCCCCGGCGTTGTCAGGAATGCATACAAGCACATGGGGGCCAAACAAACTACTGAGTACCATTTTTTTTTGAGCAGTGTGTATATACACTTTCATAAGTGACCGTGACAGTTTACAGGATTTGTGATGCAAAACATAGAATACATATCATTTTTCAAGACTGACTTATTACTTTGACTTGGATTAAGACCAGATTAAGGAGCCATTTATAGAGAAATGTAGAAAATTCCCAATGGTTGACATATACTTTCTACCAACAATAAGCATTACTACATGACTATGTATGGGCACAACTCTACATTCACACACAGGCCTTCCTAATAGGTGCTGATGTGTACTTCAGAAACATGTTATTGTGTGAGAAGGATGTATTTAGTAACTGAATCACTAAAAAATATTACACAAGGCCATTTATTACTATCTCATTAATCATGCCTTTTCTTTTTATATGTGTACTTTCCCAGGGTGTCTCCCTAGCATATATTCTAATGTAGACTTTATTGTATTTTACTATGAACTACATAGGATTATACCATAATTTATGACATTTCTTCCATGTGCTCTTTTATTATATATACAGTATATACTGTATATTTAAGGCAACTTTTGTTGGAATTCTTTACCAAGATAAAGCAAAGAAGGCTGCCTAAAGTGGTTGTAAAGGCTTCATTTTTTACCATTAAGCATTCTATGCATGAAGGTAAAAAGTTTTCTGTGTGCAGCAGCCCCCCCCCAGACCCCCTAAAACTTACCTGAGCCCAATCTCAATCCAGCGATGTGCACGAGAGCCTCAGCACTCCCAGGTCTCCCTCTGCTCATTGGATGAGATAGCAGGGGTAGCTATTCACTGCCGCTACTGTCAATCACAGCCAGTGAGCCAATGAAAAGTGAGTAAGGGGGGCAGCGCTCCATGTGTGAATGTTGCTTGCTATAGGGGCACTAGGCAGGAGGGAGGGGCCAAGTGCCAGCAGGGGGGCCCGAGAAGTGGAGGATCCAGGCTGCTCTGTGAATAGTATAGACATGTTTGTTATTTTTAAACCAAAAAAATCTGCCTTTAATATCACTTTAAGGGCCTGTTCACACCATAGAAACAGTCCAGATACATTCCAAATGCTTTTCTGTATGCACGTTTTTGATGCATTCCAGTGCATTTTTTCCCCTCTTCTTTTTTCTTCGCCTAAAATAATTACATATGCCTTCCGGTGTGGTTTTGGTGTATTTAGGTGCATTCTTGTGCATTTTTTATGCATTATACCACTTTCCAGTACAGTTCAGTGCAGAAAAAATGCAGCATGTTCTTTTTTTTTTCTGGAATTGGACTGCACTGAAACTGCACTGGTGTGAACTATGCCATTGGAAACCATATAACATATGATCAATGCGTTTGTGATGCAGAAAAAAAAATGCATATGATTGCATGTGGCATGAACTGGCCCTAAATATAAACCAGATTTTTTTTTTTGAGTGAAGTGCTATTCATGAATGTTTAAACTGAAGCACAGTTACACTTTGAGCCTAGGTTCACACCCGAGTGTAGCAAGAACCCGCGTTCCCGCTCACTTTTTTCAGCTTGCTGCACACTTGAATGGGCTGCCCTACATGCAACAAATTCCCCAAAGAGGCTCCAAAAATGTTTTTGCAGCAGAGCATAGCACATTTTTTTCACCGTGCGTATTGACTCATTTGTAGAGCGTTTCCTTGGGTTTTGGGTACCTGCTACCTGCACTTGGGGTACCATTACCAATTAATGGCACCACAAGCAAGGAGTGCATTTGCAGCGCATTTCCGAAATGTATGGCAAAACGCACGGTTTCATTGCGCTTTGTCACGTGTTGAACTGAAATTCAGCCAGTTCACAGGTTCTTAGCAATCTGGCATGAAGGAAAATACTTTTTGGAAAAGGATTCACACTAGTTCCATTACATTGACTACATCCGCACTGAAACTGAAAGGTTTTCAGCTTTCAGCCACAAAGCTTGCCCAAAACTAAGAGAACAATAGCTTCCGAAAAGGTCTTTTTCTATGTAAAGCTGGCCTTTTAGGGTAAAAAAGAAATCCTTTTCAAGCTGCACTGCAGCAGACTAAGGCTAGCCATACACTATACAATTTTCTGTCCAATTTCCTTTAGATTTACCTTCAATTATGTAGTGCAAGGGCTTGCCTAATTGGATACAATTGAAAGTGTTGTTTAGGTTTTAGACCTCATATTATATGGTATTTGGTAAATCTAATGCAAAATTCTCAAGAAAATTGTATAATGTATGGCCAGCCTAAGGCTGGGTTCACACATCTCATTTGATTTTGATCCAATTTTCAGTGCAATCATGTAGTGCACCTTGGATGCAGTTTATATATTTTATGGAATCAAAATCACTCTGGAATTGCACCAAAGTACTACATGGACCTTTTCCAAAACCACCGTGCCCATGTTGAGTCTCATTGATGTGAACGGGGACCATTGAAAACAATGTGATTTCCACTGTCATGTGACCATTGAAAACAATCAATGTGATTTCCACTGCCATGCGATTCTGTGCGACTCAAGTCATACCTAAAATCTCACTAGTGTGCATGGAGCCGCAATCAGCCACAAGGCTGGACAAATCTACTGATGTGGACATTTTACACCCACATGGGACATCCAGGTTATGCACAGAACAATGCTTGTGGCCTGAAAACTCATTTTTTTGTATTACCGGCATTTTGTCACCAATGTCAACTGAATTTGGTTCTCATAATGGGTCTTTAACCATTCAATCAAAAATCCTGTTTGTTTACATTTTCCTTGCACATGTTGGATATTCTTTGCAAAGCATACTTTCACTTAGCCTAACTTCATTCAGTAAGCAAAGTGAAAACTCTCTTTTGCAAATTGTATTTGCTCCACTTCTTTCATAAATCAAAGATGTCTGAAAACACAGGGCAACCAGTTTTAAAGTGTACATTTTCAAGCTCATCTATTGACAATGGGTTCTCATAGATGGTGGGAAAGCAGTATGAATGAGAAAAATCTATAGATTCCCCCATCTACACTAATGCAGGCCATAGATGGGGAGAAAACCGGCCGATTTTTTCTTAAACAAAACGAAAAATCGGCCATTCAATCGGCCGACGTTACCAGGAATGGTAAAAAAAAAAAAAAAAAAAAAAATCGGCCGAGTTTCATCCAATCTACAGCCAGCAAAAAGTGTCTCTGCAGACAGCTCTGCTATTTCTTTGACAGTTCTTTGACATTCATAGCGGCTGCAACATTGTATCTGTTTGTATCCATTTAGGATACAGATGTTTTTATTCGGAAACAAATAGATACATTGTTGCAGCCGCTATAAATGTCAAGGAACTGTCAAACAAATAGTGGAGCTCTCTGCAGGGACACTTTTTGCAGGACTGGAATTCTTCTTCATCCTCTTCTTCTTTTTGTCTTCCTCTTGCAGGTCACTGCTCATGCGCAGATTTTTTATCGGTAAAAAGATCGGCCGATTTGCCCATCAGTGCCGCGAAAATCGGCCGATTTTTTTCAAACTTTACCGATAAAAAAAATCTGCCAAAATACCAAAAAAAACGGCCGACCTATTAACCCACTAACGATCCGAAAATCGGCCAATTTTATTTTCGGCCAAAAAATCGGCTGATTTTCGACCCATCTATGGCCTGCATAACAGTATGGATGGAATTTCCTGCTCCTGGTTCTTGTATTCTGACAACTGGCACCTGCAAATTGACTGCAGTCACTGTTCGGTCAGCTTTTTTCAGCCTGACTCCTTCACATCACATTGAAGTTTGCAGAACCACAAGGAGTGGGCAGGGCTATACACGGCTCAAATCATAGCCAATTCCTAGGAATCGGCCTAAATTCAAGCCGCGTATGGCTATCTTCAGCCTGCAAACATATGACTGTTCCAGATCACCCTTTACACAGAAACATGCACAGCATAGTTGGGCCATAAGGTGCAACTTGCATCCCTGGCTTATAATGATGTTAAAGTGATACTAAAGTTATTTTTTTATTTCATTAAAAGAAAAAAAAATGTTATACTTACCTGCTCTGTGCAATGGTATTGCACAGAGCAGCCCCAATCCTCCTCTTCTGGAGTCCCCTGCTGGCGCTGTCCGCCCCACCTCTTCTCCAAGTGCCTCCTTTAGCAAATTGTATGCTAAGTGGGCACACTCCCGAACTGGGCTCAGTGCATCCATAGACACACACAGAGTAGCTTGTCCCCCCCTCCCCCGCTTCCTTCCTCATAGAATTTGAGTGACAGCTAGTATGTCCTGTAAGAAGAGGAAGAGAGGAGAGAGGCTGCAGACAGGACAGTGCTGAATCAATGGTGGCGCTGGGTAAATGTTGGGGGGGGGGGGGGGTTAGGAGCACAGACAGTGGAGCATTTTAAAGTTAAAAATTCTTAGCCTTTAGAAGCCTTTAGAATTAAAATGAGTGTTACTGAGCAATGTCTTCTCTAGAAGTTTCCATTAGCTAGGTTTTGGGACATAATTCCACTTTTTACTAGGAAGATAAGCTGCTCTGATACGCTGACAATCAATGATTCACTTGCGCACAACATATCATAGCAAAAAGAAAGCTCTCAATACATTAGCTATGAAGTCATGTATACTGCTACAGAATATTCAATGAATTGGGCATCACAGAACAGAAATGCTGGAGCTGATTTACTAAAGTAGTTGACAAGCTTCAATAAAAAGAAGAGTGAGCATCCATCTCGATTATATAATCATATGCAGATGAATTAAAACCGAAAGGAGCTTTTCACATGATTAGATAATTGAAATGGATCTTTACTCAACATACACTTGAGCCACATTTTTACCATCCCCTAAACCACTCCACCTTATGCTACAAAGCTCAAAATACAAATACAGGGCTCAGACTTCATCCACAATATCACATTCACACCTGCAAATGGGCAAGACCCAGAACAGTCTGCGTCCAGGGCTGGTCACTCACAGGTGATTGCATGAGCAATTACATGTGAGTGGCCACAAGTGGCTGTGGGAGCCAACAGCCTCCCATCTTCAGCCTAGGTTCCCACTGTGAATCGCACAGGAATCGCACTGCATTCCTGTGCAAATTATATGCAATTCTGTGCAGTGCGATTTGAGCCTATTCATTTTGAATGGCTCAAATTGCACTGCATCCGCATCAAAGATGCAGGCAACCTTTGTTTTTTATTTGCACTAGAACTGAATCACATGGATGTTTATACGGATTTTAAAAATTTAGGCCAGAATGTATTCTGCTACATATTTTTGGTAAAAAAAAATCCCAATAAGTGTATTTTATTTGGTGTCTATAAAGTATGGTATATACTGGAATTTACACAGCTATGACACTATCCAAGTAAAGGCGTAATCAGCGACTTATAGTGAGACTATTATAGTGTGGCGGGTAATCTAGCGTTAGCTGACACTGGCTGGGAGATACACTAACCGACACTAATACAGTCATCAGTGCTAATACTGTACATTGTCACTGTACTAATGACACTGGATGAGAAGGGGTTAACAGCTAGGGTCAATCAAAGGGTTAACTGTGTACCTAACAAATTTAAGATTTGGCTGCTTTTACTCGAACTATTTTTTTATTTATTATTTATTTCAGGTACTTCTATAGCGCCGCCAATTTACGCAGCGCTTTACATATATATATTGTACATTCACATTAGTCCCTAACCCTCAAGGGGCGTACAATCTAAGGTTCCTAACTCACATTCATACATACACATACTAGAGACAATTTAGACAGGATCCAATTCACCTACCAGCATGTCTTTGGAGTGTGGGAGGAAACTGGAGTACCCGGAGGAAACCCACCCAACATGCAAACTCCAGGCAGGTGGTGCCGTGGTTGGGATTCGAACCAACGACCCTAGTACTGCCAGGCGGAAGTGCTAACCATTTAGCCACTGTGCTGCCCTAGGCACTATCCAAGTAAAGGCGTAATAAGCGACTTATAGTGAGACTGTTATAGTGTGGCGGGTAATCTGGCGTTAGCTGACACTGGCTGGGAGGTACACTAACCGACACTAATACAGTCATCAGTGCTAATACTGTACACTGTCACTGTACTGACACTGGATGAGAAGGGGTTAACAGCTAGAGTCAATCAAAGGGTTAACTGTGTACCTAACAAATTTAAGATTTGGCTGCTTTTTCTCCCTGTTTGCTGCTCTGTGTACAGAGTCCTTTGCAACGAACGTGCACTGATCATTCCAAGTAAGCGGAAGTGACAGGGAAAAGGAGAGAATCGGGAGCTAATGGAGGATGCAGCATGGAGGCAGAAAATACAGGACCATGAAGTAGTGGATGTGTATGGACTATTTTTGGAGAATACGGATATCATTTAGCATCACTTTAATGGTCAAAAACTTGTTTTAACCCCTTGCCTACCAGGCACTTATACCCCCTTCCTTACCAGGCCAATTTTCAGCTTTCAGCACTGCCGCACTTTGATTGACAATTGCGCGGTCATGCAACATTGTACCCATATGAAATTTTGATCATTTTTTTCTCACAAATAGAGCTTTCTTTTGGTGGTATTTAATCGCCGCTGGGCGCTTTACTTTTTGCGCTATAAATAAAAATTGCAAAAAATTTGAAAAAAAAAAAAAAGTTTCTTTGTTTCTATTATAAAATTTTTCAAACAGGTATTTTTTCTCCTTCACTGATGTGCGTTGATGAGGCAGCACTGATGGGCACTGATAGGCAGCACTAAAGGGCACTGATAGGCAGTACCAATGAGGTGGCACAGATAGGCGGCACTGATAGACAGCACTAATGAGGTGTCACGGATAGGCGGCACTAATATGCGGCACTGATAGGCGGCACTGATAGGTGACACTGATGATGGGTACTGATAGACGGCACTGACTGGCATCACTGCTGGGCACTGACTGGTGGCACTGACTGGCACAACCCCTGGGCACTGACTGGTGGCACTGACTGGCAACACTGCTGGGCTGCACTGGTGGGTGGCACTGGTGGGCACAGGTGGGTGGCACGGGGGTGGCACGGGTGAGCACAGGTGGGTGGGCACAGGTGGGTGGCACTGCTGGGCACAGGTAGGTGGCACTTCTGGGCACAGGTGTGTGACACTGCAGAGTAGCACAGGTGGGTGCACTGCTGGGCACAGGTGGGTGATCTGCCGGGCACAGGTGGGCGGAGCTAGTGGGCGCACTGCTGGGCACAGGTGGGCGGAACTTGCGGGTGGCACTGCTGGGCACCGATCATCAGGGCACTGATCATCAGTGCCCTGATGATCGGTGCCGATCCCTGCTCTGACAACTGCCAGTTCTCGGCAGTACTTTCCTCACGATCTGACAGCGTGAGGAAAGTGCAGCCGAGAACCGGCACTTGCATTTCCCTCTGATCAGCGTGTCATTGGACACCGCTGAACACGTGGTAAAAGGCCGCTGTGATTGGCCTTTTACCACATCACGTGATCAGCTGTGTCCGTAGGACACAGCGATCACGGAAATCGCCGGGTGCGTGCCCCCTGGGGCGCGCAGGAGAGCGCGTTCTGGGAGGACATCATATGACGTCCACTCAGAACTGGCCGACCGCAGTGCAGCCGTCATTTGGCTATCTGCGGTCGGCAACTAGTTAAACACACATACACTTTAAAAATATAGCTGCCACCTACTAGGCAAAGTTACCAAACGTGAAAATTCAGGTTTGAAACCATTAAAACCTAATGATCGCGTGATGTTGGAGGTTCTCCATCTGAACTTGGCGGCCCGAGCTTTAAGTCAAACTGTTACTTTGAAATATGTCAAAATGCAGACATACCTACAGTACATCAGTGTTTCCCATTATTCAAACACAATTTAACCTCTTTGCGCCGGCACCTCCTGGCCCTTTAGGAGTTTCAGAAGCTGGGAGGAGGGTGGGGTTTTAGGGTCATGTGACCATCGTGATTCGCCGTCACGTGATCAGAAAAGGTCCCGATCGAAAGGGGAGATCGGGACCTTTCCGTGAGTCACAGACATATGTACTGGGAGCGCGCAGGATGCGCACTCTCAGCACATATGTATTTTCTAATTGTACGCAAATATGCAGCAGCTCGGCATCAAGGCTCAGACGCCGAGAAGCCGCAAATTTGCGTGCACTCGGCATCAAGGGGTTAATGAAGTGGTTGTAAACCTCAGACATGAAATATGAACAAAGCATATCCCTCTCTAAAGTGTACTTATCTCATTTCAGAGCACTATGTGTTATTTCTGTCCGCTGCCTCATTCTTCTGCTGTCAGCATGAGTCGCTTCTGACAAGTTTTCCTGACAACAAGAGAAAAATGGTGACAGGCGAGGGTACAGCCTGTGATTGACAGCCTCAGCTCTGTTCCTGTGTGCTATGTGGAGGGGGGGGGGTGTCTCTTCCCTCCAATCCAATCTCAGAGCTTTTCTCCTTGATGTAATTTTGGCTCTCACCCCCTGCTTTTTCAGAGCTGAGACATCCTGTGTCAATTCTGCACTTTGAATAGATATAGAGTAAAGGCGGCTATAGATAAACAGGTACAACTTATGTAGGAGGATTTGTTTCATCTCTGTGTATCACCTGAGGCCAGTCACTTCACTGGGTATATGTAAGGGTCTACAACCACTTTACAGGATAAGTTCACCTTTCGTAACATGTTAAGTTACACTCATATTCTGGGTGTAGCATGTAACATGTTACGATCTGACAGGCACCCGCTCCCTGCTCTGACAGCCAACGGGGGATCCCCCCCTTCCCATTATCTGTCAAATTTAAAAAAAAGTGGCCATGCGGGCTCCGCCCACCCAGCCATATCAGTCATTCACAGCATTCTGGGAATGAGTGACTACAAGTCCAGGAAGCCTTAGTGGCTGTCAGCTTATAGTCCTTGATGAACTACCACGGTGCTGTGGAGCACTCCTGTCAGTGTATTTGCTTGCCCGCAATTCCTGTACGGCAAGCAGATATTCTGACAGGTCTGCAGGAGACCTGCATGGCACCAGCGATCTGATCACTGGTGCAACGCTTTCCAGGCTTCTGCAGACAACAATAATAAATGCACATTTTTTTACCTGCAAAAAAAATGTGCATTTATTTTTTTTACTAAAAGGTGAACGTATCCTTTAACCACTTGCCGTCCGCCTACTGTTTTTAAAACGGCAGGACGGTGGCACTCCAGGGGCGGGTTGCCGTTCATAAACGGCACCCGCTATTTTCTGGTTGTGCGCGCTCCCTGGGAGCACGCAGCACCGCGCTCCGGTGCCCGCTGTGTCCTCCGGACACAGTGAAACACCGATGGCCAATCAGTGATCATATGCAAAGTAGTAAGCAAGATGTCACTTGTAACATCATTGCTTACTACGTGTGAAATCTGTGAATGATCACAGAGGTCACATGGTACACAACAGCCTTGTACCATGTGACAAGCTCTGACCAATCACAGCTCACACAGTATTTCTCAATGGCTGCAAGAATGCAGACAGAGAGAAAGAGAAATGATTGCTTTTACATCCTATATGGGTGTAAAAGCAATCACTGTAAAAAAAAAAATCTTCATCACCCCCCACAAGTAGTACAGTGTCACCATGGTGACACTGTACTGCTAGGGTGACAGTATGTAAAAAAAAAAAAAAAAAAACCCATAAATAATATTATAAAAAAATAAAATAAAAAATGTAAAAAAAAGTTTAAAAATTATAATTTATAATTTGGTTATAAACTAATTCGGCGTATTTTTTTTTTTTACTAAAAAGATAACAGAATAAATTTTGGCCGAGATGTATGATGAAATATTAGTTATTTGCAAAATTTTATAAGAAAAACACTTTTTTCAAAATGTTTGGACTTTTTCATTTACATAGCAAAAAAAAAAAATCCCAGCGGTGAATAAATACCACCAAAATAAAGCTTTATCTGTCTTAAAAAAATGGTAAAAAAATTCATATGGGTACAGTGTTGCATGACCGCGCAATTGTCATTCAAAGTGTGATAGCACTGAAAGCTGAAAATTGCCCTGGTCAGGAAGGGGTGAAAATGTCCGACTGGAAGTGGTTAAATCAAACTTACTTTGAAATATGTCATAGTGCAGACATACCTACACTAATAATAACAGTGTTTCCCATGAAAATAAATGATTAACTATAAACTGCATACAATGTAAATAGATAGAAAGAACAGACCTGACGACCACAAGACCTAGTTTCTCCATTGTGTGCTTCCTCTGATCTGACTAGTCATGGCCAACAAGAATGTTCGTGGGACACTTATGATCAAGGCTCACTGGGGTCGATTTACTAAAACTGGAGAGTGCAAAATCTGGTGCAGCCTGGTAGCTAATCAGCTTCTAATGGGCTGCCCCATGCGCAACATGTAACACGTGTAAATCACATTTTTAAAAACAGCGAGATCTGAACAGGGCCTTATGCACTTTTCTAAAACAAATAAAAAGAATTTACCAAAAAAACCCTGAACTCCAGGAATTAGCTCTGTTTGAACAGTTACATTGGGCGCAATGTAGACATGCATATCTGATATCCAGGGTGCATTTGGGGTCGTGCACCCATAGGTAAGTCACATTGTGAGCAGTGGCTGTGACTGTGCAGCTGCTGCATCCCTACTGATAGCAATAGGACTGTTAACATAAAAATTGCTGTGCTGCCTCTACTGAAAATGTAATAATTAAATGAACTAGAAAAGCTATAATTTCTGGGGAAATTGTGTGAAGTGTTCTTGCCTCCACCAGTAGTCTACAACTGGAGTGGGCGGAGTAACTGGGTGGAGTGGGTGGAGTAACTCGGTGGAGTGGCTTTTCACTCCGCTGCCTGCTCCCACACATGGGTTCCTATGGCATGAGTTGGGACCCATTTCTGCAGGGACCCATAGACAAGCTTCTGCGGGGACCCTTAGACAAGCCTTCTGCGGGGACCCTTAGACAAGCCTTCTGCGGGGACCCATAGACAAGCCTTCTGCGGGGACCCATAGACAAGCCTTCTGCGGGGACCCTTAGACAAGCCTTCTGCGGGGACCCTTAGACAAGCCTTCTGCGGGGACCCTTAGACAAGCCTTCTGCGGGGACCCATAGACAAGCCTTCTGCGGGGACCCATAGACAAGCCTTCTGCGGGGACCCATAGACAAGCCTTCTGCGGGGACCCATAGACAAGCCTTCTGCGGGGACCCTTAGACAAGCCTTCTGCGGGGACCCTTAGACAAGCCTTCTGCGGGGACCCTTAGACAAGCCTTCTGCGGGGACCCTTAGACAAGCCTTCTGCGGGGACCCATAGACAAGCCTTCTGCGGGGACCCATAGACAAGCCTTCTGCAGGGACCATAGACAAGCCTTCTGCAGGGACCCATAGACAAGCCTTCTGCAGGGACCCATAGACAAGCCTTCTGCAGGGACCCATAGACAAGCCTTCTGCAGGGACCCATAGACAAGCCTTCTGCAGGGACCCATAGACAAGCCTTCTGCAGGGACCCATAGACAAGCCTTCTGCAGGGACCCATAGACAAGCCTTCTGCAGGGACCCATAGACAAGCCTTCTGCAGGGACCCATAGACCAGCCTTCTGCAGGGACCCATAGACAAGCCTTCTGCAGGGACCCATAGACAAGCCTTCTGCAGGGACCCATAGACAAGCCTTCTGCAGGGACCCATAGACAAGCCTTCTGCAGGGACCCATAGACAAGCCTTCTGCAGGGACCCATAGCAAGGCAGGGACCCATAGACAAGCCTTCTGCAGGGACCCATAGACAAGCCTTCTGCAGGGACCCATAGACAAGCCTTCTGCAGGGACCCATAGACAAGCCTTCTGCAGGGACCCATAGACAAGCCTTCTGCAGGGACCCATAGACAAGCCTTCTGCAGGGACCCATAGACAAGCCTTCTGCAGGGACCCATAGACAAGCCTTCTGCAGGGACCCATAGACAAGCCTTCTGCAGGGACCCATAGACAAGCCTTCTGCAGGGACCCATAGACAAGCCTTCTGCAGGGACCCATAGACAAGCCTTCTGCAGGGACCCATAGACAAGCCTTCTGCAGGGACCCATAGACAAGCCTTCTGCAGGGACCCATAGACAAGCCTTCTGCAGGGACCCATAGACAAGCCTTCTGCAGGGACCCATAGACAGCCTTCTGTAGGGACCCATAGGCAGCCTTCTGTAGGGACCCATAGACAGCCTTCTATAGGGACATATAGACAGCCTTATTAGAGATCTTATTTGTCCCTAGCGGCAGAATCACTCATCTGACATAACCCTAGAGCTTAAGCATACATGCGCTAGACTGCTGCTCTTCTGAAAATCGATTTGGGCATTTGACAGGCAGTGAAGCAGCGACATATCACCACCTGCTTTAACCCACTGTGCCAGGAATGGGCTATATTCCATG